CACAGTTCCGCTATAAATAACAATATTAATTATTGTTCATTAAATTTATTATATTATTGGTGCCTATTTAAATTAATTATATTAATTGGTGCCTCTTGAATTTATTATATTCATAGTGCCTGTTTAAATTTATTATATGAATTATTGATGCTTTAACCAATTTATTATATTATTAGTGCCTGGTAAAATTTATTATGTGAATTATTGATGCTTAATCAATTTATATTATTAATAGTGCCTGTTTAAATTTATTATACGAATTATTGGTGCTTATTGAATTTATTTATTAGTAGTGCCTGTTTAAATTTATTAAACGAATTATTGATGCTTAATCAATTTATTATATTATTAGTGCCTGTTAAAATGTATTACATGAATTATTGGTGCTTAATAAATTTATTATATTAATAGTGCCTGTTTAAATTAGTTAAAATAATTGTGTTTAACATGCACTCGTGCGTTCGGGGCGCTCTTCTTTAAGAAGATTTAAGCCACGATTTTATTTTTGAATTTTCATCGCCTGCTTTACTTAAGAATTATTGATTTTATGACGCCGGATATTATCTTCGTATCTCTGGAAATAATCTCGCACTCAAGTAAATGAGCGAGCCTTTGTCCGAATAACGATAAGCTGTTTAAACGTTAACCCTCGTGTGCGTCATCTTGATGCGCCATCTTTGGCCAGACAAATGAGCGTATCAGTGATACGAGCAGAAATTGCGTCCCTATTTCGATAATCTATGACTCGTTATTTTTAGCCCATTTTCTCATTTATGGAAAAAAATGCACTATTGTGCTCGCCATGTTCGTCCGTCCTTCTGTCTGTCTTTCTGTCCGTCTGTCCGTCCGTCTGTCCGTGACCTCAAGTTTTCGTCGACGAGAAAATGCGCTCTCTGTCACTCACTGCAGTGAGTACTGAGTTATATTTTTTCTGAGTGTTTACACTTGTTTACTCGATGAGTCATCAATAATTAAGTCAGATAATTAAACACTAATAAAAATGATGGAGTCATATTGTCCAGATGGTGACACACCTTAGCCATGTCACGAACAGAGAGCAATGCAGCACTGATACGCTCTTATGCCTGGCAAAACTGGGTCAGCATGACCCAAGCAAACGCGACAAGTGCATCGCTACTTGGACAGTTTGTCTCACTTATTCCTCTGTGTGAGGAAAGTTATTTACGCTGAATTTACTGAAGATTTTCTCCTATTTACTATTTATACTGAAGAAATTTTTTTACTTTTTATTCACTATGCTTTTCTCTTTTTTCCATTATCTTCGTATGACGTCATCGCGTAGACGCTATCCTTTAAAGGCTTTAAAGACGCAGAAAACACTCAGAGAAATGAGTGTGTCATGATGACTCACTTGATGTTCTTCGGATCGTAATGCACGTTCTCAGTTCACTAGGTCACGCTTGACGCACTTTTCAAAAATAATAGGTGGATTAAAATGAGTCATTGAACGACAATGAGTGAGTCGGGAAAATGCGATGAATCTGCATGTAGCCCATGAATCATGAATTTAGTCATCTTGACACACTTATTTTTGGGGATATAACACATTGTGGTCCAGGTAGAGCTCATAACATATATAGGCTAAATAAACACTCAAATAGATAAGTTAGACTTTGTCCAAATAGCAAGGTTCTTTTAGCTCTTGTGTGGGTCATCATGGCTCACTATGGGCCGGCAAAAGGGCGTATAAGTGCTACTTGTATAGGAAGCGTGTCAATATTTGGACAATGTGATCCATTCATTTGTATGCATGAGTGAACCCACAGAATTTGAGACTTTGCAACTCACTAAGCGAAATTCCAGATTTATGATAAATACGGAAATCCGCATTTAATGAAATTGAAAATGTACTAATAAAGTTCTTTGCTTTTTTAGCGCATTTTTATTATTTGCTTTGTACGCCTGTTTGGATAACTGCAATTGGCTGAAATTAATAACTTGAATAAGCCTTTCTAATTTCGAGTCAAGCCTTTCTAATTTGTAGTCAAGCCTTTTTAGCTTTTAGTGAAGCCTTTCTTATTTTTAGTAATGCCATTCTAATTTCTGGTCAAGCCTTTCCAATTTCTAGTCCAGCCTTTCTAATTTTTATTCAAGCCATTCTTATTTCTAGCCAAGCTTTCTAATTTCTAGTCAAGTTTTTCTAATTTCTAGTCAAGCCTTTTTAATGATAGTCAAGCGTTTCTAATATATAGCCGAGCTTTCTAATTTTTAGTCGAGCTTTTCTAAATTCTAGTCAAGCCTTTCTAATTTCTATTCAAGCCATTCTAATTTCTAGCCATGCTTTCTAATTTCTAGTCAAACCATTCTAATTTCTAGTCAAGCCTTTTTAATTATAGTCAAGCCTTTCTAATTTACAGCCAAGCTTTCTAACTTCTAGTTAAGCTTTTCTAATTTCTAGTCAAGGCTCTGTAATATCTAGTCGAGCCTCTCTAATATCCTAGCCAATCTTTCTAATTTCTAGTCAAGCTTTTCCAATTTTTAATTAAGCCTTTCTAATTTCTAGTCAAGCTTTTCTAATTTCTGGTCAAGCCTTTCTAGTTTCTAGTCAAGCCTATCTAATTTTTAGCCAAGCTTCTCCAATGAATAGTCAAGCCTTTGTAATTTCTAGTCAAGCTTTTCTAATTTCTAGTCAAGGCTTTCTAATTTCTAGTCAAGTTTTTCTAATTTTTGGTCAAGCCTTTCTAATTTCTAGTCAAGCCTATCTAATTTTTAGTTAACCCTCTCCAATTTCTGATCAAGCCTTTCTAATTTCTAGTTAAGCCTTTCTAATTTCTAGTCAAGGCTCTCTAATTTCTAGTCAAGCTTTTCTAATTTCTGGTCAAGCCTTTCTAGCTTCTAGTCAAGCCTATCTAATTTTTAGGCAGGCCTCTCCAATATCTAGTCAAGACTTTCTAATTTCTAGACAAGCCTTTTTAATTTATAGTCAAGCCTTTCTAATTTCTAGTCACGCCTTTCTAATTTTTAGTTAAGTTTCTTCAATTTCTAGTCAAGCTTTTCTTATTTATAGTCAAGCCTCTCCAATTTATAGTCAAGCTTTTCTAATTTCTAGTCAAGACTTTCTGATTTTTAGTCAAGCGTTTTCAATTTCGAGTCAAGCCTTTTCAATTTCTAGTCAATCTTTTCCAGTATCTAGTCGAGCCTTTCTAATTTTTAGTCAAGTCTTTTCAATTTCTAGTCAAGCCACTCCAATTTCTAGTCAAGCCTTTCTAATTTCTAGTCAAGCCTTTCTAATTTTTAGTCAAGCCTTTTCAATTTCTAGTCAGGCCTTTCTAATTTCTAGTTGCCTTTTTCTGATTTCTAGTCAAGTCTTTCTAATTTCTAGTCAAGTCTTCCTAATTTCTAGTCAAGCCTTCCTAATTTCTAGTCAAGCCTTCATATTTTTTAGTCAAGCCTTTCTAATATCTAGTCTCCTAATTAACGGTCCATTTCTTAATAAATATTACAGTTAGTCAAATGATTAAAAATTATTTATTATTATTTAAGTTTAATATAAGTAACTGATGCTCTCAACCGTTATTAATAAAAAATTAGAACCTTTATGAAATTTTATTATTGAAAGTACTAATATTTGTATGCGATTTAAAACAATAACAACGCAATTACATAAAATAATCAATTGAAATCATGAAATATAAATTGATAAAATTGATGCCTAAAGATCGAATTTGACCCAGAAATAATTATTTAGTAGAAAATGAAAGTTATCACGTGTAAAAATATATAATAATAAATATAAAATTATTGTACACTCACTCAGAATAATGAATTTGCTTTTGTCTAAATAGAGATGCACTTTTTGCGCTTATGTGGGTTTTCTTGACTCATTTTGGCTCGGAAAACGATGTATTAGTAGCACTTCCGCTCTCAACACGTGCTGTGTGTCAATATTTGGACAATATGACACATACATTTTTCTGTTTGATGAAATAATTATTTGATATGGGTTACTGAAAGTTTTTAATTCATCTATTATTTTATTTATTATTTATTGCAGGTGNAACATTATTACACAGAGGTTTTCGCATTTGTTCCACATACCATGCTATGCACGCTGAATTTGAATTTTTACGCAATAATATTTTCTCGCTTAATGGATTTCCGGCAAGTTTGGTGTTTACCCAAATCAAGAAATTCATGTCGAAGCGATACAGTGAGGTTGCTCGTGAGCGCGATAGTAGGAAAGTTATTTATTGTTCTTTTCCATACTTCGGCCCTGCGTCCGAAGCTATGTCAAGAGAATTAAAAGTCTTGTTCAATAGATACTTCCCAAATGTCAGTCTTCATATTGTGCTGGTAAACAATTTCACAATCGGTTCTTTCTTTAGATATAAAGATATGCTTCCTGTTCATATGCGATCGTCCCTGGTTTATCAATACAGTTGAGCACGATGTGCATCTGCGTACGTCGGGATGACGTCACGTAATCTTTATTCCAGGGTCTCTGAGCATAAGGGCAGGAGTTGTAGAACCGGACAGTTGCTATCGCGCCCACCTCATTCGGCTGTGCGCGCTCACGCCGAGCAGTGTGATGTCCCCATTTCTGACAGTGACTTTAGAGTGTTAGCTTCCACCTCCGGGACTCCCGATTTGCGCATTTTAGAATCGCTGTACATCTTTAAACTTGGGTCCAGTTTGAATTCAGCTGCTAGCTCCTATCCCCTTGAAATTGTTAATAGATAGTTTTTTGCTCTGTCTATTACTTGTAAATTTAGGTTTTAAATTTTGTTCTGTGCTTTCAATGTATTAATTTGTGACTTCTGATTTGTGATTCTAGATTCTACGAACTGACGATGGAGCTGGTCTCCGAAACGTTTTCTATAAAGATATGAATTTTTGTGGACTTTTCTTTGCTTTTAAATTCTTAGTTAATTTGCGATTTAAGCAAACAAGTGATATAAATTCATTAAACCATAATAATTCTAACAAATAAATAAGCAGATAATTCCTGATGAATTTATTAGAAAAAATAAATGAATAAAATGGGGTGAAAGGATAAGTGTGATATATATAGCAAATAAGTTGACTCAGATGTATTTATGAAATAGAAAAATGAACAACAATAATTCTAATAAGTAATTAAACAGATAATTTCTGTTGTATTTATTAAACAAATAAATAAACAAAAAACTACCACAATTCTAAGAAATAAATGAACAGATAATTTCTGATGTATTTATTGTAAAAATAAACTAACGAATAAAGTAAAATAATTCTAAGAAATAAATGGACAGATAATTTCTATTGTATTTATTAAAAAAATAAACAAATAAACTACCATAATTCTAAGAAATAAGTGAACTGTAAATTTCTGTTGTATTTATTAAAAAAATAAATAAACGAATAAACTACCATAATTCTAAGAAATAAATGAAGATTAAATTTCTGTTGTATTTATTAAGAAAAAATAAAAGAATAAACTACCATAATTTTAATAAATAAATGAACAGAAAATTTCTGTTGTATTTATTAAAAGAAACAAATAAAATGTAATGAATGTTTCAGGAAGAAGAAGCGCGTGTACAGAACCTCGCCGGCGCGGGTGGCGGCCGAGCAGCGCTGCGTGGGCAGATACAAGCGCTTCCAGCTCTGCAACGTCCAGGTGGGGCACGGGCTAACGGGTCAGGGGAGAACGGGTCAAGGGGGAACGGGCCAGGGGAGAACGGGACAAGGGGGAACGGGCCAGGGGGGAAACGGGCCAGGGGGGAAACGGGGCAAGGGAGAACGGGCCAAGAGAGAATGGGTCAGGGGAGAACGGGCCTGGTACGGGCTGGTGAGGAAAGGGTCAGAGAAGTTAGTCACGGACTAAAATGAAGTGCATATTCAACGAGCCTGGCTGTATGCGAATATTTCTACACTCAGAAGAATGAGTGAGTCATGTTTTCCAAATAGTGACATACTTTGCGCATGTACCACTGATTCGCCCTTTTTCCAGTAGAAAACTGGGTCACAGTGACCCACACAAGGTAAAAGAGGGACTCAATATTTGCACTGTAGATTTGAATTAAAACTATCGATTCAAATTTATCATGGGTATTTTAAATTGGAAACATTTGTGTTTTCAGGATTTTGCTCATGAAAATTAGACAAACCCTATTAATGTTGAAAAAATATTTTCTATAAAATACTTAGTAGAATTTAATTTGAAGGATTTCAGATGAACACAGTTTAATGTATTTAATGGATCTTTTGCGTTATATTACTATTTTCAAAAAACGCATGAAAATTAGCAACAGCGATCATGTTGGTTGACTTGAAAATACTTCACAAATAGTCAACATATGACAAAAATAATATTTAATTGATAAACAAATATTTTTTATTATTTTTTGAAAATAATTATAAAATATATTTTTTATAATAAGATTGCAAATCATCATTACAACTCAAACCGCTACAGTTCGTTCTCAATGACCTTCCTGACACGTCACTGATTAATTATAATGGGCACCATCACTCGTTGAAATGGCGAAGCAATGTCGCAAAATTCCATTCAAAAATCTAAAAAAATTGCGTGGTGCCGTTAAAATATTGAATCATTAATTAAACGTCAGTCCTCAATAAGGAATCAAGATACTAGAACATATAATATAATATGGTATAATAAAAATGTAATATGTCATAAAAAAGATATGATATAATAAAAGATAATACAATATATTATATTATAATATAAAAAGTCTAATATAATATTAATTTAGTTGTGTGTTAACGAAGAAATGCACACTCTCGCCACTCACCGCATGTGCCCATATTATATTATATAAGTAACATATAATATAATACACATATATAATGTCATATCCATATTATATCATTCTAATAACATATAATATAATATGAATCATTAATGACATTAATCGTACCCAGCAATGCCCGGGGGAAGCTGGAGACTTCCGACGCCAGCAATGCGAGCGCTACAACACGACGCCCTACAACGGCCGTACCTACGCCTGGGAGCCCTACTACGACGGTGGGTATATATAGTGCCCTACTACGACAGAGGGTATATATAGTGCCCTACTACGACAGAGGGTATATATAGTGCCCTACTACGACAGAGGGTATATATAGTGCCCTGCTACGACGGTGGGTATATATAGTGCCCTACTACGACGGTGGGTATATATAGTGCCCTACTACGACGGTGGGTATATAGTGCCCTACTACGACGGTGGGTATATAGTGCCCTACTACGACAGAGGGTATATATAGTGCCCTACTACGACAGAGGGTATGTATAGTGGCCTACTACGACAGAGGGTATATATAGTGCCCTACTACGACGGTGGGTATATATAGTGCCCTACTACGACGGTGGGTATATATAGTGCCCTGCTACGACGGTGGGTATATATAGTGCCCTACTACGACAGAGGGTATATATAGTGGCCTACTACGACAGAGGGTATATATAGTGCCCTACTACGACGGTGGGTATATAAAGTGCCCTGCTACGACGGTGGGTATATATAGTGACACCATGCAGCACCATGCAGCACCATGCAGCACCATACTAACCACTTCCGACTGCCGTCGTCAGGCAGGCGCGGTGACCGCAGCGCAGAATTATGGCCGGCGCAACCTCGGCCGCCGATACCGCGGCCATCATCATGAGGAGTGAAGCTCCGAGGCGCATGAGTCTTGATGAGCCCGCATCACGCACGCCACCATCACTCAGCACGCTCATGTGCACACCACCATCACTCAGCACGCTCATGTGCACACCACCATCACTCAGCACGCTCATGTACACACCACCATCACTCAGCACGCTCATGTACACACCACCATCACTCAGCATGCTCATGTACACACCACCATCACTCAGCATGCTCATGTACCTGTCTCTTATACACATCTAGATGTGTATAAGAGACAGGTATATATGGTGCCCTACTACGACGGTGGGTATATATAGTGCCCTACTACAACGGTGGGTATATATAGTGGCCTACAACGACGCTGGGTATATATAGTGCCCTACTACGACGGTGGTATATATAGTGCCCTACTACGACGGTGGGTATATATAGTGCCCTACTACGACGGTGGGTGTATATAGTGCCCTACTACGACGGTGGGTGTATATAGTGCCCTACTACGACGGTGTGTATATACAGTGCCCTACTACGACGGTGGGTATATATAGTGCCCTACTACGACGGTGGTATATATAGTGCCCTACTACGACGGTGTATTTATATAATACGTTTTCGTATATATACATAACAATTGCATTAAAATGTTCACTTCATAATGTTCAATGTTCCTCATGCCCCCATTACTTCTCGCAATATCGCTCTCTATCCTGCATCCATTTTTGCCAGGTCCTTCCCTCCAATAGCACTACTGACCTCCTCTCCCCCCACCATGTCCCCTCCCCCAATAACCCCCTCAAGCCCTTCACCCACGTCCTTCCAATAAACAACTCTTCCCCATTACAGTCCCCCCGCCCTCGTGTCCCATGTTCTCACAATGACAACCCCCTCCTCCCACAGCCCTCCAGACGTGTGCCCTCAACTGTCGCCCTCTCCCCCCTAGGCGCGGCGCCTGAGGAATAGGCGCCTGCATGGTGAGAAGGCGCGGCGCCTCAGCAATATGAGTGAACAAAATAAATTAATAAATGAAAAATGAGAGCGAAAAAAATTTCAATTAATTGAATTTTATTATTAAAATGTCGCGGCGAAGATCCAAATGCCAGTAAGACTAGGTAAGGAAAAACCTTATGTATAACGAGTCAACAATAAAGAAAATAATAAGAAAATTTGTAGCGAAAGAAAGTTTGTTAATAATTATTATGGAGTTACACCCGAAGAACAGCTTCAAGGTAGTGACTGCTAGTGTACAACTGTACATTCTACCTTTGCAATGTACACGAATGTGCTGTGTTCATGCATTCAAAAAACGAAAATAAAAATAAATAACGAAATAATGACGTGCTATCCAATGTCCAATATCCACGTGCTGCGTTCGTCAACCAAGCCTGTTTGTCAGATTTTACGAAATGAAAATTATTCGAATGTATAACCGAAAATTTCAATAGCCTCTGCCTAAAAAGTTTGAATTTTTACGGCAAAGACATTGAATTTATTTAATAAATTTGAAAACCGAAAATGGATTTAACTCCTTTGATCCTTCGCTGGACAGGAGATAGGATGCGATGGTCTGCTGGGGTCTGACAAGAAGCTGGACGTGTGTGGGGTCTGTGCCGGAGACAACAGCTCATGTAGGTCTGTCGAGGGGGTCTACAGTAAAGTACAGACCGGGTCTGCAGGATACAGCTTGGTTCTCACGCTTCCTACGGGGGCTGCAAACATATCCATCATGCAAGCCGCGTCTTCTGCAAATTATCTGGGTAATTGATAACAAATATCTAATAAATACATGTTTAATTTAGTTATTTACTATAGATAATTTTTTGTTCAAAAACTTTATTTGGCGATATTTAATATAAAATTTTCAATATAGATGTTTCATTGAATTTTACGTGATAACGAAAAACAACGCAAAAATAATGTTTATGCATGAATGTTTAGGATTAAATGATCATATACCATAATGTTCAATTACAGTTCATCTGACAGGACAACTATATGAAAAAATACTTTAAAATGAGAATATAACTCAATAATTATTTAAAGTTTATATAATATTTTTATTCAATTATAGTTTATGCAATAGGGGTAACCCCACGACCTTCTGTTTACTGTTTTGACGACCGTGCGCTATTTTTGTACATTTTGAACTATTTTATAGAGCCTTTACCGTATTGAACAATCTAATAACCCCCAAGGGGTTTTCTTTACCCAATTATTTTCCTGAGTGATATGTTCTTGAAACAGGAGTCATTTCACGCGAAATTTCTGGCATTAGCGAACTAATTTGAATAATATTAAATATTTATAATAATAATAAATTATTGTGCCGCATATGACACCGATCACAGCTTTCCCCTCATCCACAACCCTCACATTCCCCTCACCTCACATCCCTCACATTCCCTCCCCTCACAGCCCTCACATTCCCTCCCCTCACAGCCCTCACATTCCCTCCCCTCACAGCCCTCACATTCCTCTCACCTCACATCCCTCACATTCCCCTCACCTCACATCCCTCACATTTCCCTCACCTCACATCCCTCACATTCCTCTCACCTACACATTCCCCTCACCTCACAGCTCTCACATTCCCCTCACCTCATAACCCTCACATTCCCCTCACCTCACATCCCTCACATTCCCCTCACCTCACATCCCTCACTTCCCCTCACCTCACAACCCTCACATTTCCCTCCCCTCACAGCCCTCACATTCCCTCACCTCACAGCCCTCATATTCCCCTCACCTCACAACCCTCACATTCCCCTCACCTCACAGCCCTCACATTCCCCTCACCTCACAACCCTCACATTCCCCTCACCTCACAGCCCTCACATTCCCCTCACAGCCCTGAAGGACCCCAGCAGCGGCGCCCTGCTCCTGAGGGGGGGCCGCCCCCCCAATGAGTCATCACTAATAGAGGCGGGGGGCACAAGCTTCGGGTACCATCCCCCCAGGGGGGGCGTGGGGGACAGCCTCACCGCCAGGGGTCCCCTGGTGCACCCCGTCGACGTCATGGTGGGCGCCGCCCCCCAATATTGATTAATAATAAATTATTTATTAATAATTTAATTAATATTATTTAATTATTATTATCAATATTACTTGAATAATTAATTAATATTAGTTAATGTAGGGGTACGTACCATTTTGTACCATTTTGGGGCGTATTTGTGTACCATTTTGTACATTTTTTCATTTATTTATTAATAATATTAATAAATAAATATATTGATGATAATAACATAGACTAATTAGTAATATGATGCTGGGTTATAAATTATTAGAATAATTCGGAATAATTAGAAAAAAAATACTGACTAATTAATATATTAATATCGGTGGTTATTGATTAAAATAATACCGAATAATTAATATAAAATACTGATAAATTGATATAATGCTAATGACTGACCAACAAGTATAATACTACGAGGAAATAATTATAATAATGCTGGGCAATTGTTCTTATTGAGAATAAAACTGATTAATTCATATAATAATGAATGGCAATTATTGATGTGGATGATACTGAGCAATTAGGTAGAAATAGCATCGTGGGAAGAAAAGTTATTCTTCTTATGTTGAACTTCATGTGTTGAGCTGAATAATGCCACTTCATCATTCACATTACTATACTTGCGAATAAATTTAAATGTATTTAGTGGTTTGGAATAATAATTTAATAAATTGAATGCTCTAAAGCTTTATGTTGAAGTTATTTTAACAAATTAAGCCAGAATTTAAGCAATGCATAGGCCTCTTGAAACTAGTAAAATGATGGTTTCATGCGCGACAATGCTAATATCATTGACAATTATTAATATGCAACGTTGCATAAATTAAAATACGATGTTAATGCATAGATAAAATCGGTATTAAAGATAATTATTTTGAATCACTGCAATTCATCAAAAAATTTATAATAAAGTTTATTAAATGATTGTGTATTTCATCAGCTGTTCAGCTCGTCCAGCAACGTGGGTGTTCACTATCGCTATCAGCTCCCCCCTGGCACCCCCAGAGCGCCCCCCTTACGGAGCGATAACCCCCTTAACCCCCTCCTCCCCCACGGGACCCCGAGGGCGCCCCCTCTACGGAGCGATAACCCCCTAAACCCCCTCCTTCCCCCCGCCCCAAACGGCCATTACTTTCGTGAGTAACTTTTTTTCATTTCTTCTTTTTCGAAATTTTTGTTGTGAAAGTAATTTTGAGATATTTTTTCTGATTTAAGTTTTGAATGTTACACTACATGATGCAATATTATGTCGCCTATTTTACACGACATTCAGAAACCATAAAATTTTTCTCACAATTTTCCTATTCTTCACACCTTATTATACGGGTTCTTTTCTCACATTTTACATGTTTTTCACCTTTATTTATTTTACTTGTACATGTTTTCAGATGAGAAACACGTTGCATGTCCCTTATTTACCTTTATTATATAAGCTCTTTAACGACATTCATTTTACATGCTCTTCAACTTTTTGCACTTTGCAGGTTCTGCAACGGCCTTCATTTCACAGGATCCAAATATATTCATTTTATGGCTTCTTCATATATTATAATTTTACATGTTCGCCAGCCACCTTTAGTTTACATGTTCTCTAATAATCTAGATTTTAAATGTTCTTCAACGACCCTTGTTTTGAATTTTCATCTACTTTCATTCATTTGCAACTTTATTTTGCATGCTCTTGAACGACTTCCATTTTACAAACTCTTTAACAACCTTCTTTTTACACGCTCCTTAGTGACCTTCATTTTAGATGCTCGTTATCTATCTTTTTATTACAAATTTTTCATCTCCCTCATTTCACGCGCACCTTAATTGAATATCGTCATTTTACATTCTCTTTAATGACCTTCAATTTAAATGCTCTTAAACACTTTAGCGTCTAGCTATACATGTATGTCGCCTTTCTTAAAAACACTATTAAACTGTATTAAAGCTTCCCGTGAATGAATACTATGAATTAAAAACTTCCTATGAATGAGGCTGAGCTACAGCGCTGTCAGACACGCTCAGAACATGTCTTTAATTGGCTCGGCAGAAAAAAAACAATGAAATTTAGTCTCACACTTCAGTGCACAACGTGCTTTTGTGGGATGTAGGTGGCATTTTTATCTGGCTCCGCAAAACATTTTCTTTTTCGGCACTATTGCTGACAAACCAGTTGAGATATTGAAATGAAAAAAGTATCTGCTTGTTTGGGAGTGCTCAAGGCGTCATTTTGGCTATTTATTAATGCATATTGGTAGTTTAAATTATTTTGGTATAGTATTTTTTAAAAGACGCCAGATATATAAAGTACCCCATGTGTGAAACGCGCCACAAATGTCCAGTCGGTCGTACGACACTGTAAATAGTACAGCTGGAGAATAGAACTTTTCTGTTTGATAGTTGGTAATTTCTCGCAGTTATACCTCAATTAATATAAAATAGACCCATAATGTTAATGAGGTAACGGGTTCACGTAATAATTTCATTTTCATTTGCTTTGATGAAATATTGAATGAACTAAACTATGCAAATTAATCTTGTCGTTCGGAAATAGTAAATATTATATAATTGATTGTTATATAAGCGTGTGAATGTTAGCTGCAAATATTGGCGTTTTTTATGTTCTAAATAATCGTTTACTGGAGTCCAATTAAATTTTTCCACTCAAGAAGAATACGTCAAAATAAACTAGAACGACACATCGCTATACTTCTTTTCCCGAACACTCATAAGCAGAATGCAATTCTGGGAATGTGGCTTCAGATATTCAAGATCAATCCAGCCTAGTAACAAGATCAGTTCCAAAATATTAGCTAAATATAAAGTGAACTTCAATTACACATTTTAAGATCCAATATGCTATGTGCACATGTTCATATATTTCTCCTCAAATTCCACCCTGCTCTAGAGACAATTGATTTGTGTTCTTGATCAAGATTTTTTTCTTCTTTTAGTTTCTGATACTCACAAAATTGGGAAGAAATTCATCAAGATGTTGAGGATGATATGATACAGATATGTCGCCAGTAGTTTCAGTCTGCGCTACAGCCATGTGGACATTTATGTCGTCTTTCAGATTTTTTAGAATGCGTGAATTTTAAGAATGGGAGTATAATTCTTTATTGTAATTAGGAATATACTGCACAATAGAAGTGCATGTGAAGATTTTTTTGTGTTATTGAGCAAATCGAGCATTAAAGGGTTAATAATCTAGGTTTTATATGCTCCTGAATGACCCTCATTTTACATGCTCTTTTATGACGTTCATTTTACATGCTCTTTAATGACCTTAATTTTACTAGCTCATTAATTGCCTTCATTTTACAGGCTCTTTAATGACCTTCATTTTACCTGCTCTTTAATTATCTTTATTTTACAATCTGTCAATTACCTTAATTTTACAGGCTCTTTAATGACCGCCTTTTACAGGCCCTTCTTCTTTACACGCTGTTTAACGAGCCCCGGCGCAACATTTCACATGTTTTTACTAACCTAGGCTCAACATTTTACACGCTCTTACAACCCTGGGCTCAACATTTTACACGCTCTTACAACCCTGGGCTCAACATTTTACACGCTCTTACAACCCCCGGCTCAACATTTTACACGCTCTTACAACCCTAGGCTCAACATTTTACACGCTCCTACAACCCTAGGCTCAACATTTTACACGCTCGTACAGGCCTAGGCTCAACATTTTACACGCTCTTACAACCCTAGGCTCAACATTTTACACGCTCTTACAACCCTAGGCTCAACATTTTACACGTTCGTGCGCCGGCATAACGACTTCTTGCTAATGAAGTCCGTGCGGTTTTGACGCTCAGCGAAATTAAGGAAAGATTTACAAGCTTCCGTTGATGAAGCAAACACTTGATGAAGTAAATTGTTGATGAAGCAAACACTTGATGAAGTAAATTGTTTATGAAGCAAATTGTTGATGAAGTGAATTGTTGATGAAGCAAATTGTTGATGAAGTGAATTATTGCTGGAGTAAATTCTTGATCAAACAAATTCTTGATGAAATAAATTGTTGATGAAGCGAATTGTTGATAAACTAAATCGTTGATCAATCAAAAAAATTTGATTCACCAGACTATTTCTAATAAATAATAAAGTATAAGTAGTACTTAACTGTTAATTAGTAATCAAACAATTATTATTTATTTCAAAATTAATGGCGGAGAATTTGCCGAAGAGGATAACATAATACGTTGTCATATAACGGACCTTATCATAAGTACTTCCACCATCACATTGACTAATAATATCGACACGAGCTCTACTTGAGTTTTATTGAAAATGATCACTGAATTTTTATTTATTTTACCATTTACCACATCCTTTTAGTCAACATCATTTTATTCCAGCTATTGTTTATACCAGGACATGAAGCACAAACATGAATTTGCATAATTAATATAATATATAATTGCCCATACTTTTAATTTTTATGTCATAAAAGTGTATTGAGTTCCGGAATTGATGTAATTTGTACGTACAATGTGCCTTGTTTATACTTTTAATTCCTATGACAAGAAAAAAAGAACGAATTTCGGTAAATAATAACCATGGAACAAGGGGTTTTCGGGCTTTGTAATGCATATGCTACAATAAACCTCTACTTATTAAGAATTAGTTTTTAATGGATTATTAACAATATTGCTTAATTTCCAGCGATAAACGACGCCCAATACGACCGAACCCTTCCGAATTCCCCCGACCGAGGGCTCAACGCCCCCGCTTTTAAACCCAACGAAGTTAACACAAAAACCCTAAGAGCCCAAAGAAGGAACCTGAACCCCAAGAGGCAGCATGGGGTTGTGCCGTACGAGTGGAAGGCTGTGGGGTTCACTGCCTGCTCCGCAACCTGCGGCCGAGGTTATTTGGGGTCAATTAATTTTGGGGTCAATTAATTTTGAGATCAATTAATTTTGGGGTCAGTTTATTTTGGGGTCAATTAACTTTTGGGTCAATTAATTTTGAGGTTAATTGATTTTGGGGTTAATTAACTTTGGGGTCAATTGATTTGGGATCAATTAATTTTGGGGTTAAATGATTCCGGGGTCAATTAATTTTGGGGTCAATTAGGGTTCACCATCAATGACGACCAATTCATTTTTAGTCAATTGTTGTTAATTAATTTCTGATGCTAATTAGGTAAGTAATTAATTAGGGTCAATTCTGGCCAATCCATTTTTTTGGGTTGTTTGTGGTCAACAATTAATTTGTGCTATTTAATTTTGGGGTAAATTCTGGTTAATTAAATTTTGAAGTCAGTTGCGGTCAAGCATTAAAAACTAATCAAATAGGGTCAATTAATTAGATGGTCACTGCTGGTTAATTAATTCAGAGATTACACGAAAAATTGTCATAAATATATATACGTGCATATGGTATAGAAATTTTATTGGTGATCGTATATACTGATGATATTGATACAAATAATAGATTGAAATCAAATTTATTGTTTCATTTTATCGATAATTTATTATCTGAAAGCTCGATGCATACATGAAACACTCATATTTATTTTTGGTTAGCAAATTTCTTCTAATTAAATAATTCTACATGAAATTTCCGTTATAAGAAGTAGACGCGCTATGAAAAATCTCCCAGCATATAAGCTTGCATTAAAATTTTATCCAGCCATTAATAAAATAATTAGTAACAAAGGAAATATGAATTAAACGCATCTGAAATAACTTTTTTATTTATATCGTAAAATTTGTATTTCTGTTCATTATGAAATTTGAATTATTTGACGAATATGGCATATAAATCCTCATAGGAAATGGTTTGGGTTGAACAAACTTCCATTCATCAATTCAAACTTTCATTCATCAATTTCCAATACATTTTGGTATTTACTGCAATTATCTAAACCACATCGGCATTTACACTTTCAAAATACAAATACTAAATTACAATCGATTGAAATTTATATCATGTCGAATTATTCCAAAAAATTCAAATCCTATATCACGAGAAAAAATTCAAAATCCAGTCCGTTTCTCTCTGAGTTCAGATTTCTGAATCAAACTGCAGGTCGCCGTCATAAAAAAATACAAATTTAGCGGAAACAAGTTTATGTTTATATTTATATTATCATATTTATATTCAAGTTTTATACTATTTTTATTTGTTTCTACGCCTGTATTTTGCATGTAGGCATGCAGGTCACCGTCCTGGAAAAATACAAATTTTGCGGAAACAAGTAATGGTTAAATTTACATTATTATATTTATTATATTTGTATTCATGTTTTATAATATTTTTATTTGTTTCTAAGCCTGTATTTTGCATGCAGGAGTGCAGGTGTCTCACGTGGTGTGCGTGCGTAAGAAGCGGCAGGCGGTCGTGCCGGAGCAGAACTGCTACACTTTGCCCCGTCCTCCTCCTGAGACTGTCTCATGCAGCCTTAAGCCCTGTCCGCCCAGGTGAGCAAGCCCTGTCCACCTGTCCGCCCAGGTGAGCAAGCGTCGTCTTAAGTAAAAAATCGATGAGTAACAAAGCCATAAATAAAAGGAAGAAATAAACATATAATGCATAAAACCTACATTAGGTACTCATAACACGTCCATAACACGCCTATAGCACATCCATAACCCACCTATAACGCGCCTATTACACGCCTAGAAGCCACCTATAACACGCCTATACCACATCCATAACCCACCTATAACGCGCCTATACACGCCTAGAAGCCACCTATAACACGCCTATACCACACCCGTAACCCACCTATAACGCGCCTATTACACGACTAGAAGTCAGCTATAACACGCCTATACCACATCAATAAGCCACCAATAACACGCCTATTACACGATTAGAAGCCACCTAGAACACGCCTATACCACACCCATAAGCCACCTATAACGCGCCTATTACACGCCTAGAAGTCACCTATAACACGCCTTTACCACACCCATAAACCACCTATAACGCGCCTATTACACGCCTGTAACCCAACTATAACACGCCTTTACCACACCCATAACCCACCTACAACGTGCCTATTACACGCCTGTAACCCACCTATAACACGCCTTTACCACACCCATAACCCACCTATAACGCGCCTATTACACGACTAGAAGCCACCTATAACAAGCCTATACCACACCCATAACCCACCTATAACGTGCCTATTACACGCCTGTAACCCACCTATAACACGAGCCTTACGTACAGGTGGGAGGCTGAGGCCTGGGGCGACTGCAGCGCCTCATGTGGCGTTGGGCTGCAGACACGACGCTTCTCGTGTCGCCAACAGCTCATGGACGACGCCCACGCCGCCCACGCCGCCCACGCCGCCCACGTCGCCCACGTCGCCCACGCCGCCCACGGCGTCCACGTCGCCCACGTCGCCCACGCCGCCCATGTCGCTTCTGTCGCCCATGTCGCCGTCAACGAGAGCGCTTGCCCGCGTCAAAATTCGCTGCCTCCCGCGCAGGTATGCATCAGCTTCATGCATCCCATGCTTGAACTATTGCGTTTTAATGATAACTGAATCTATAAATGAATATTGTATGAATGATTTAATGTTGGTTTAATTGTTGCTGTGATAATTTAACAAGCTCTTTTATTGTCGGTGCGGAGAGCTCTTGTTTATTATCAAGTGGTAAAGCCTTCTGTTTCTACTTTCAAATTTTTAGATCTATCAATCCCATTGAATGAATATATGCCCAACATAAAATTGTGGTCTGAATAATCCAAAAGTGGATGATTTTTAATATAAATAACAAGAATTACGGTAATTAAATCGAAGAAATTTTGTTAGCAGTTATTTATTTCCAATAATTGAAAATAAATCAAATAATTTCTTCACTTATCTTTGGTATATCAGAAACCCTCGTGTAGCTAATTATTCCAAACGTTAATGATTGTTACAGTATCAATGAGTGAATAATATTATAAAGTTTATTACAATAATAATCAGAATGATAATAAGAATAAAAAACTACCTTTATAAAAATAAACATTTTGAAATCTGCGTTATTAACTTAAATGATCCCTCACCCCTCAGGTCTGCCACAAGCCCTCGTGCAGCTCTCAACCCTCGTGGCATTTGGGCCCCTGGGGTGACTGCTCTACCCGCTGCGGGTTTGGGACAAGGACCCGACAAGTTACCTGTGTGTCTGCCGGGACCAACGTGCCCCACCATCAATGTCCCGGGCCGCGTCCCAGCGACCAGGAGATGTGCGACATGGGCTCATGTGCCAGCAACACGTGGTTCTTTTCAGCCTGGGACGAACAATGTACAGCCGAGTGTGGGTTAGGCGAGCAGCGGCGACGTGTGCACTGCAATGCTGACCCACTTTATGAGGCTGACCCACTTAAGGAGGTTGACCCACTTAAGGAGGTTGACCCACTTAAGGAGACTGACCCACGTCACGAAGGGCCCAAATGTGACGCGCGTCTGCGGCCCAACGACACGCGCAGCTGTGACAGCGTCAGGGACTGTGGCGGACAGTGGGCTACAGGTCAGGGTCTGCAGGGTTACAGGTCAGGGTCTGCAGGGTTACAGGTCAGGGTCTGCAGGGTTACAGGTCAGGGTTTGCAGGGATACAGGTCAGGGTCTGCAGGGTTACAGGTCAAAGTCTGCTGAGTCACAGGTCAGGGTCTGCAGGGTTACAGTTCAAGGTCTGCAGGGTTACAGGTCAGGGTCTGCAGGGTTACAGGTCAGAGTCTGCAGGGTTACAGGTCAGAGTCTGCAGGGTTACAGGTCAGGGTCTGTAGGGTTACAGGCCAGGGTTTGCAGGGTTACAGGTCAGGGTATGCAGGGTTACAGGCCAGGGTCTCATTTCAATTCGCCCCTGATCCTCGCTCCCTCTCTTCCCTCTCACACTCATCCCCTTTCACCCCTTTCCCTTCCCTATTCCCCACTCACCACATCCCCCACAACTCCTCTCTTATTCCCCCAATATCACCTCCCCCCTCCCTCACCCCTTCACCTCCTCTCCCCCTCAGCCAATATTCCCCTCATCTCCTCCCCCTTCATCCTCTCACCCCTAACCCTCCCTATCCCCCCAGGGGAGTGGTCCCCCTGCTCGGCGGGGTGTGGGGGGGCGGGGGTGCAGCAGCGTCTCGTGGTGTGCGTGGCCGGGGGGCGGCGGCGCCACCGCATCCCCAAGGACGACGCCCCCTGCGGGGGGCGCCCCCGCCCCCCGGCCGTCCAAATCTGCCACCGGTCCTGTGAACCCATGTGGTTCACGTCAGAGTGGTCACAGGTAATTGTAATTTGTAATGTAATTTGTCTTGCACAGTTTATAAATTTGGTAATTCAGGTAATTATTATTTATTCCAATTATTAATAATTATTCTGGTAATTTTTATTTAAAATACTAATTTCGAACCGATGTGGTTCACGTCGGAGTGGTCACAGGTAATTTTAATTTGTAATGTAATTTGTTTTGTACCTTATATAAATTTGCGATTTTATTACTTATCAAATTATTTAGAATAATTATTCTGGTAACTTTTACTTAATACTAATTTCGAGCCGATGTTGTTCACGTCAGAGTGGTGCCAGGTAACTTTAATGGTAATTTATAACGGAATTCGTCTTGTGTATCAAAACTGATTTCAATGCATATTTAGTTATTTACTATTATTACAACACTTCGCTCTAACTTAACTTCTTGTTGTTTGTCTGTCTGCTACAAATCTTATAATCGATATTTAACACACTTCTACCAGTCCAATCGATCTGAGATTTTGCACACTTGCGTAAAGTTGGAGACAATGCATGAATCAATTGACAGAATAAACAAATTTGAAAATTTAATTTTTTTTTCATCATGAATTTTTTTCGAGATATGAAAATAAAATAAGAAATTCATTGTACATGTGTAACATCGGAGCACTGGATTCTTTAGAAGTGTTGTCATTAAAAGAAATTTTTAAATGCATATTTTTTATAAAGTACCGTATTATTTAATATTAAAATCGAACTGTTGTAATTCACATCAGGATGGACCCTGTTGAGTTGTAGTTCTTATTGTTCATATAATATTGATTTCAATGCAAATAAATTTCTCAGTATTATTTGATTCAAAATTTCAAAATTTTATGAAAAAATCAAGTTTTTTGGATTTTTTGTGGATGATTTCATGATTTCATTAGGTGATATGATATTTAATAGTCGCATTTCTAGATCGAAAACTAGGTTTGCAAAAGTTTATTTTTACAAAATTAACAACGTTTGAATTAGTCAAAATTCATTTTAAAGCAATAAAACACATCGAACAATTTTGGATCTGTATTGCTAACGTCACAAATTCTCATTTTACGTAACAAATTCTCGGTAGAGACAGTAATAATTAAGCGCTAAAAAACGGTTATTATGCGTTATCGTCGTTAATATAACGTTTAATAAACGTTATTCCGACGTCAAACCTCTGTTGGGTTGGGAATTTATTAGGCTTACAAGTTAGGCGTTTCAACACTGAGATAAATGAGCGAAACTTTCTCAATACCGACGCACTTTTTGACTTTGTATGGGTCATCCTGAACCAGTTTATCCGGGAAAAAAGGCGTGTCAATGCTGTGAAAGTGTTTTACTATTTGGACAATAAGACCGATGTATTTTTGAATGCGTAATGAGGCTTGGAGCTTCTGGGCGTAGATTTTAGTTGCCTCGATATCTCTCTTACTACTGAGCATTCAGTGTAGTGAGCATTTATTTTCATTATTATTGTTTTTCTTGCTCCTATTATTGTTATAATCATATTGTTATCATTATTTTATTATAAATATTTTATTATTATTATTATTATTATTATTATAATATTTTCATTATTATTAGTGGTAGTAGTAGTAGTAACATTAATAACAATAATAACGATAAGTAATAACATGTCCCGCCACCGTGCAGTGCACCGTGAGCTGCGGTGGCGGGGTGCAGCGGCGGGAGGTGAAGTGTCTGGACGACCGCCGCACCGCCAGCCTCGGCTGCCCCACCGCCGCCAAGCCCGACACACGGCGGACCTGCGCTCCCGACGCCTGCCTGGCGGGTCAGTAGTAGGATAAGTAGGATATGAGTAGGATTAGTAGGATATATAATAAGTGAAGAGTAGGATATGTAGGATAAGACTGAGTCATGAGTAGGATAAGTAGGATAAGACTGAGTCATGAGTAGGATATGTAGGATAAGACTGAGTCATGAGTAGGATATGTAGGATGAGGCCTGAGTGATGAGTAGGATAAGTAGGATAAGACTGAGTGATGAGTAGGATAAGTAGGATAAGACTGAGTGATGAGTAGGATGTGTAGGATAAGACTGAGTGATGAGTAGGATATGTAGGATAAGACTGAGCTATGAGTAGGATTTGCAGGATAAGACCTGAGTCATGAGTAGGATAAGTAGGATCAGACTGAGTCATGAGTAGGATATGTAGGATAAGACTGAGTCATGAGTAGGATATGTAGGATAAGACTGAGTGATGAGTAGGATATGTAGGATAAAGGCTGAATACGATTTGAAACACAGTCTGTATAGCAAATTTTCATAGTATAAATTTCTGTATGTTGTAATATTTTATTAACATCGACCTACGTACAGACATTTAATATATACATTTAATTCGATACCTCATGTAAATTATTAAATATAATATAAACCCCCATATAATAGCCACTTATATTTTTAAATTCAACAATTTAAAATTTTGTATGAATTATTTCGTGCCCGGGCAGAGACTTTAATAGAGGACGCCGTGGGGGACGTGGGGCGGGGCCTCCTAGTGGCCTCCCTGCAGCCCCAGCCTGAGAGGGTTCCTCCCCCAGCTGGTGAGGCAGTCCTAGCCATGTAGACTTGATGGTCTGCAGGGTCTCCTAGCCATGTAGACTTGATGGTCTGCAATACAGTTCCTCCCCCAGCTGGCGAGGCAGCCCTAGCCATGTAGACTTGATGGTCTGCAGGCAGTCCTAGCCATGTAGACTTGATGGTCTGCAGGCAGTCCTAGCCATGTAGACTTGATGGTCTGCATATAGTTTAAGTTAAATGGTAATGTGTTTACCTAACAAATTACATAAATAATAAGTAGTATAACAACGGACAGCTTTTGCAATAAAGTAACCGGAGCGTTGCTGGCCGTGATGTTGTCACAGGTATGCAATATATTGTAGAATGTGTTATCTAGAATATATATATCTGCAGTTGAATATATATATTCCATTTTCATCTGTATGAATATTGTAAGAAAATAATGTAATGTTTTACATTCGTACAATACATAATAGTTTACATTCACATAAATCATTACATTATTAGCAGGTGCCAACACATGTTTTGGAAATTGATTATCATTTTGTTTAAAGAAAATCTAATTCAAATAATCACTCGGCTTTAATTTAATCGCTCGGCTCAGGTTAAAAATATAATTTTATAATCTTTCATTTAATTTCAAATTTAATGACGCAGCAAAATTTGAAATGACGCAACGAAATGATATTCGCATGATATACTCTTTACTTCAGTATAGTCTGGCCATTTAATAGGTTTTATCTATACTTCTGTGAACAAAATATTGATCTAAAGCCGATTAATTCGAGTGCATAACTAATAAAACTATTTATTATCCGTATAAAATATTATAAAGAATAATTTGTGTATTGATAACGTGCAGGTTGGTGCTTGGACCGCATGAAGAACTGCAACCTGGTCTTCAAAGCCAGACTTTGTCGGTTGAAATATTACAGTAAACTGTGTTGTAGAACCTGCAACCCTTGACACCTGTAAGGTGTGTTGCAGCACGTGCAACCCTTGACATCTGTAGCCCATGTGTTGCAGGATGAGCAACACTTGACACGTGACTACGCTGTGTTACACTACAAATTACAGTAAACTCTGTTACATTACGTGCAACCCTTGGCATCTGTAGCCCTTGTGTTACGTTACGTGCAACCCTTGACATCTGTAGCACCATGTGTTGCACTATACATTGCAGTAAAATGTGTTGCTGTATCTCCAACCCTTATTCGTTTGCAACACCAAAAAATAAATTCAGTTTTGTTTTTCTCTGGTACTAGCGAAGTGCTGTAGGGGAGATCGATTTTCCGGAAAAGATATTGATGTGATATTTTCGATTCACAGTCGGAATTTTTCATACGGGTATAAACAATGCCAAGACAACTTATGAAGTAATCGATGTTATTTCATTCGAAGTTCATTGCATAAACCAACATACGAGGAAAAATGGAATTGCCTTACCTTTTTCTGGATTTGAAATCGTTGTGATTTCAGCTGTAATTTCGGCTGAAATTTCAGTTGCAATTCACATTATAACTCAATACAAGGTCAAAAAATAACCGTCAAATCAGAAAACCTGTTTCCTAAGTTGATATCGTTGTGATTTTATCTGAAATTCTAGGTCACAACTAAAAATACATGGATACCATCTATTAATTTCCCTGGACTCATGTATTAGCGTGAACCAAAACAAATAAATCCAGAAGATCGAGCGGCCATGTTATTTATAAGAAAACCGAAGACCCTGCAGTATTGATAGTGGATTCCGAAAAATGAAAGGTTTTGAAATTCATGGTATTTTACTACATCATTGTACAATGGGTGATGAATGTATACATGTACAGTATGTATGTTTGCTGTGACATTATAAGCATAACTGGATTGTTATTCATCTCTTATTCACGAATGAATTGAGCAAATGCCCTTTGGGAAACCAACTATGGCAGAATATCTTTTACGAAGACTAACAAATATTTTATTGATATATATGTTAAATAATGCCGGCTGCAGATGTAGAATTTATTCAAAGCATAGTAATTAGTCCTAATCAGTATTGAGAATATCGTGGTTAAGTAAAAACATGGATTCTTGACCAACATTTTCCTGATACGGTCGTATTGTTCCCATAACCTTCCTATTACAAGTATAACACATAGTTTATTTATGGACATTAATCCAACGATTATTTTCTTGTATAATAACAGATTTTTGTACAAACTTAACTGAAATCATCCAGTATAAATGCTGTGCTACCTGACGACTGGTTTTAATTTTCAGTTCACGCGCATGCATTATTTTTTGTTTATAATTGATTGTCATTTTATGGAGAACCTAGACTTTCCATGGGACTTAAGTTAAACAAAGAGTCCTATAAGTTACAAAGGGTACTAAGTCTTCCGAGGAGTTCTAAGGTTGTAGAAGGGTGCTAAATTTTTCGAGAAGACCTAAGTGTTCCAAAGGCCCTTAAGTCGAATGACATATTAAGGATCCAAGGTCGATGGACTTTTTGGGGACCTAAGGTTTCTGAAAGGTTTAAGATCGATGTATTTTCAAGGGACCTAAGGTCGATGGACTTTCTGAGGACCTGAGGTTTCCGTAAGGCCATAAGATCGAAGTATGTTCATGGGACCTAAAGTCGATAGATTTTTTGGGGGACCTAAGGTTTCCGAAAGCTCCTAAGATCGAAGTATGTTCAAAGGACCTAAGGTCGCTGGACTTTTTGGGGACCTTCGGTTTCCGTAAGGCCATAAGATCGAAGTACTGTATGTTCATGGGACCTAAAGTCGATAGATTTTTTGGGGGACCTAAGGTTTCCGAAAGGTCCTAAGATCGAAGTATGTTCAAGGGACCTAAGGTCGATGGACATATCATATAAGGATCTAAGGTTGAAGGAGCTTTTGGGGGACCTAAGGTTTCCGTAAGGTCCTAAAATCGAAGTATATGTTCAAGGGACCTAAGGTCAATGAACGTTTATGGGACCTAAGGTTTCCGAAAGGTCCTAGGGTCAAAAGATACTTAGAAGGCCTGAATTTGTCGAAAGGTCCTTGGATGGAAGGTTATTTAAGGGTTCTATGGTCGATGAACGTTCAAATATATAAGGATTCATGATGTCGTGTTCACGTGAGCTTCTAGTCTCTCCTCCACATCGTGGCAAACCACAAAGACTTTTTTTCGGTTCTCCTGACGCTTGGAACGATTTGCATTCGACTAATTACAAGCAATTTTTTTGGTCTGGAACTTTTAGACTTATTAATTAATTGTTTATTTTATTTTCTCCACTTTTAGGATAATTATCGTACGCGTAAACCTTATCGATTTGTGAAGTGTCTGATCAAATCTATGAATTGTTTTTTCATATTTTTTCAAGAAAAAAGTATTTTGAGTTCAGATTAAAAAAAATACGTAACAAGCGGATAAAGTTGATATCTAATTCACAAATTGTGCGAAAATTATTGTCTTCAGATAACTGCTAAAACGATCAAAGTTAATTATTCATTAATTGAACAACTATCAACTTAATAATTATCACTTGGCTTGCCACGCTGTGGATCTCATACAGTAGTTGCATTAGAGTTTAATAAGTTTATGAAGTTTTATGCTGTTGTCGCAATAAACATTTGTTTCTCATTGTTTATACACTCAAATAAATAATTAGGTCATTGTAAACAAGAATCCATGTTCTTTTATTACCCAAAACTCGAGTTGGCGTAGCACTGCTGCGTCTGGCAGAACTGGGTCAGGTTGACCCACTCATTCCTGTGACTGTGCTTGCTGGCCTGCACTCAGACTAATGAGTGGGTCAAGACGACATCACTTGGACTATTCCATCGCATGGCCTACATTAACAAATTTAAATCAATCTTCCCTGTACGACTCATGATAATTAGTCACGATGACTCACATTTTGTTTAGGTAATCGTCGATTGCGTGATCGTTCACGAAATTATGTCTTTTTCATCAATTCGGTCACAAATCTTTGAAGTTGTCGGACAAGTAATGAACCCAAATGTGAGACTTTAAAGTCCGCAGACAAGTATTCATACTTTTAAGTTCGGACAGTGTTTAATATCTCAAATTTTAAGCAATGAACTTTAGACTACCAATTTTTTCATAGGGTAATAATACGTAGTGCGATGCCTTCAGTACAAGGCCTAAGCTTGAAAAAAAAAACAGGCTAGCAGATCGGAAAAAATCTTCCATTAGGAACTGTTTGACATTAGGAACTGTGCGTTTAATTTTTTAGCAATTATAGAAGTTTCTTAATATCGTTGTCGCTACGCATAATAAAGATAAGTGCAGGGCTCGATTGTAGTAAAAAAAGCAGCTCTAATAATTTAAAAAAATTCTATAAGAGGCAAAAAAAAGTTCAACTTAGGACCATATTATGTTTTTATTATATAAATAAGACAAAATTAGATCGTTTTATTTTTTAATCGTTCGATCGTTCATGCAAAATTTCAATCAAAGACATTCAATCTAGAAATACAAAATAATAACATATCAGATAACTAACTTAGTAACTTGAGCGATTCTTGTTATAATAAAAGATAATTATTATATAATTATTATTATCGAATGCCAAATAGATTCATAATTATTACAGAGATTTGCCCTCCATCAACAGTAAAAAAAACTCATAAAAATAAGCGTGACATAATCAATTAGCGACGGACTTTTTGCCTCTGAAATGAGCCATCCTAAACCAAATTCGAGGCCAAAAATGGCATATCAGTGCTGTTACGGGGCCATTACCTGCTGAGCGTAACGCGAGACTTTATCCTATCCGCAATAACCCAACTACGGTTCGTTACACTTCTTGCAGATCAACACAGTAACAGACAGGAGAATAAGGACGATCAATGCGTAAATTTCCTTCAACAATGACGATAAGATAAACAGAGTGGGTGTAAGTTGAAGACTTGGGTCTATTGAATTTTGGTACAATCGGAAATTAAAGAACAAAGAAAGCGTTGAAACTTTTATTGTTGTGGTTCCGAAAAGAGAATTGGTTCGCAGAACGAAGCCTTGAGGAAACGAGAAGCACGAAGCGCGATGAGGAACTCGTGCACTGTAGTAAAATACGTACGCACATACAGGTACAAATTCGAACGTTAGAAGTCTAGACCACAATATTTGATTTTAATTGAACGAGTCACTGTTTCAGGGTGAATATGTCTCTCTCTCCAATTCTCACAAATATTGCCGGTGGCAACAGAACGCAATAAGCAAGTAGCTCAGCTCAAAAAAACAGAAACGACAGAGTCGAAGACCAAGTAGAGGCGGTTGGGTGGATTCTTATCTGAATAAGATAGGAAACCAATTTAAGCCTAAAATTAGTAGATTCAAGGATTTAACGGAGTGAATTTCAGTATGTTTCAATAAATTCAGAATAATGATAACACAGTTTCAAATAATCAAAATAACAAATCTATTTGTTTCCGTTGAGGAATCCTAGATAAGAGTTCTCATGTAGAGAACTATAAGAAAGAAAATAGTGAAAACAGTAATAGGATGTTCGCTCGTACTTAAAGAGAGTAAAGCGCATGCAAGCATGCAAGTTAATTCACAGCACTAAGGCATGTGACATAATCGGTTAACACCGAAGCTCCAAAGAGCCAATAACCCTTACGGGTTCAAAGCACTGGCGTAAAGCCGGTTAAGCAAGATCTTAAAACGAGCGAAACACAGAAGTTCTAACATGCATTGAATTGAACAAAATAAAATGAAAACACACTCGCACAAACTCAAATTAAGGAATAGATAAGCAAGAGTTAAAAAATTGGTAATGCTGTTTGAGCAAGAGGTCTTCTCTCAGGTAAGGTTAAAGCGATAGTCACCTAGAACGAGCTACAGAGCGCCGACTATGTTTCCGGACATGAGACAAACGACAAGCGCATAAACGTTAACGAATTAATTATACAATAAATTTAACAGGTCATGACTTCGGATCAAGACTTAGAGGTCTCTCTGTGTATGAGATAAAACTATTACGGACACTAAACATACACAATGTGTCATGCCTAAAACTATATCTTAAAAACTAAGAAAACCTTTTTACACCTATAGCTATACGGATTGACATCACACTAATATATATAGCTGACGAAGTTATCACACAAATATATTCCAGGTCACAGGAAAACACAACAATATCGTTGCGTTGTGACAATTTGATATTTAATTATCACAACGCCATTTGACATTTAAAAATAACAAATTATCCTATGCACAGTACACACCTGTCCCGTATGGTGGCGCAGATCGAGTGATCCTATATAGCTACTATTCCGCAATGCAGAGCGGACCCAGCAACATCGCACAAAAGTTTAAAGACATTTTATTAAAAAAATATCATTGTAAAAGGCATATATAAAAGTTGCATTTTCCTCCTCTACAATACTACGTGCATGATGTCTTTCACTATTTGAACAATATGACTCATACATTTTTCTGATTGTGCTCTACGTTCACGTGGCACGAAACGTGTGTCCAGCAAGAGCAGTATTATGACTCACTTGTTCATCGTGAATGCGTCACCAATTTTCACTCGCACATGAATGTTGACGGAAAATATTTAAATGATAAACACCGCAGCCATACAATTCCTCACCAGAGGAATAGCTTGTTGCGTTGAAATAACATTTGAGTTGAATTTAAAACTGTGGAATTTTAGCTTCGCTGAAATTGTATATGCGTTGAAATAACGTCTGAAGCAAATTGAAATTATGCTTCCACATACCAAGCATTTGAATTTAATAGTCAGATTGCCACTGTCAATTAACCAATTAACGCTCTACCGCCTGATATGAGTAACCGCAGCAATATTAATAACATATTAATATTACTAATATATTTTTGTAATATTAATATTAGTAACCGGAGCAATATTGTCACGCGCCTACTTCCCAAAAAGGATACGTTCTAGTGAACGCAAAATGACTTGCACTGATGGTTGCCGCCACGTACGACAACTTTAAAATGTTCTCTGTTGCGTACAAACGTCCTCAGGTCGCTACACTCAATAGTTTACGTATAATAATTATTTTAGTTGAAAGTTATGTTCCCGGAGAGTGACATGCGGTGGTAGAGGGTTAGGATGTTGCCCTTTACATTTTTCTTTGATTCCGTTCCATTAATAATTAATTTCGTTTAAAACTCCTTTACTTAATCCTCTTGATTTATCAGTTCTACATTAAATAATTAAGTTACATATATAGCTGAAAATAATGAAATATTATAGAATCTATATTAAAAAGATAATATTTAGATAATTGTAACAAAATGCCTTTGATAATATGGAGTTTGACAGTGAATGGCTGCAGTATTTCTAAACACAAGTAAATTTTACCATAACCCTACAATAAACTTCACACGCACAAAAAATTCTACAAAAATGTTAAAAGTTACACTATTATAAAAAATCTATAACAAAGTTCTAACGTACACAATGAAAAACTGTACATTGACTTTAAACTTACACAATAAAAAAAATAAAAAACTTCGAAAAACTTACACAATAAACAAAGCAAATGCAAAAAACTTCAAACATGCACAATAGGAAAAAAAATCTACAAAAAACTCAAAACCTACACAATTATAAAAAAACTGCAGAAAACTTCAAACTTACACAAAAAATACGCAACCATAAACTTCGGACTTACACAGTAGAAAAGTTATTTTCAATAAAAGAATGGCCACGTTATTTTCAAACGTTAACAAGTTGTAACCGTTCATGTATTGATGAGTGAAATTGCCGGGGACTGAATAAAAATTTTAGGAGCCTGAAAAAGTTTCATGAAAGAAGCTACACCGCAAGAAATGAGTGCAACTTTGTTCAAATGCGATGACCCAATCATTTCATCCTTGAGTGGGTCATTCTGACACATCTCGGCCCAGCAGAAGGGCGTATCAGTGCTATATACAGTATATACCACCGCAAAATACTACTGCTGTGGGTAAGAAAGTGTGTCAAAAGATGGACAATATAACCTTTTAATTTTCTGAGTGTTCGCCGTCATTCAGCTTTATCGTCCGTGAATGAACTCAAGCCTCCGTAGGAGCAATATCGGGCGGAATTTATGCTTCGATTTTCATTTAAAATCAATTATTATCTTCGCTGCTTAAAAATCACAGGAGTCATATATTAAAGTAATTCTGAGCTTGAGTAATAGCTATGGTAGTAAATAGAACGAGATGAGTGGAAAGAGCTGCAGCTACTTTCTGCCACAGCTACTTGCTGCTGCAGCTACCTGCTGCCGCAGCTACCTTCCTGCTGCTGCAGCTACTTGCTGCCACAGCTACCTACCTGCTGCTGCAGCTACTTGCTGCCGCAGCTACCTACCTGCTGCCGCAGCTACCTGCTGCCGCCGCTGCCCCGCGACAGGTTGCTGCGGTTGCCTGGATGCCGCCAGTCGGCTACGAGACGTGGACGTGTACGGTGTAGTGAAATTAATCTCCCAGCCTTTCAACGTTGATATAATTAACCAGTGTTTTTTGGAAAAGTTTACAAATTTCTTTGGTTCCATCAATATATTTAATCCTTGCCCCTATGTCTCTTTAAGTATTGAATCATGGATGCCCAAAACATGTATTTTGTGGCCGTAGGGCATCTTTACGTATGGGCACAGGCCTGTTCCTCATCATCGGACGCGCTGTCGTAGGGCTCATCATCGGACGCGCTGTCGTAGGGCTCATCATCGGACGCGCTGTCGTAGGGCTCATCATCGGACGCGCTGTCGTAGGGCTCATCATCAGACACGCTGTCGTAGGGCTCATCATCGGGCGCGGTGTCGTAGGGCTCATCATCAGACACGCTGTCGTAGGGCTCATCATCGGACGCGGTGTCGTAGGGCTCATCATCAGACACGCTGTCGTAGGGCTAGTGTTGCCGGTCACGCGTGTGTGTCGGGCGCGTGCCATACGCGAAAGAGTCGAAGTCAGGCCGGAACTAGGCCATGAGTAGGTCGTAACTAAATGGCGTCCAGGCCGCAACTAGGCCGCAACTATGTCATGTCTAGTTCATGTCTAGGTAGTGACTTTAACTTTAGTTTAATCCAGACTTTGACAAAGTCTTGGCCTAGTCGTTACTTGGTCGTTTGCGGGCTATAAATGCACCGTAAATAGGTTTTAACCAGGCTGTTACTAGGCGTTCGTAGCTAGGCTGTATCTAGGCTGTCACTAGGCTGCAGCTAGTCAGCAGTACCGAACAATTTTCCAGTTCAGATGCCCGGAAGACAATCAAGTTATCGTTGTTTGAGTATTTATCACAAATTGTCTCAACCTTTTTCATACAATTTGGCATGTCACAACAAGAATGTTACCCCCACAAAAAATTCTTAAAATTTATATCAATAAATGGAAATACTTATAGTAGTGCACAACCCTCAATACCCCCCAATTTTCATCAATAACTTATAACACATAAATTCTAGAAATACATTTTTAGGGATAAATGGGTCTTATAATTAAGGGTAAATTGATAAAATTCACCCTAAATTCGGGTAAACGGGGAGATTCTGCCCCTCAGGCGAACCAGATTGAAACCGTTGACGGTTGCGCAGTAATTTGTTTCTGTACTTCATTAATATAGAGATAATATAACCTTTCCATTTCTTATAGAATATTACATAATCCAACTTTATATCTAGGGAAGATGACCAAATCGTGCATATTCTCTGTAATAATGCTGGGTAGATGAATAATGTGAGACTATACTGTATGTTAAATAAATTAATCAGATACACTGTAAGATGATGAAGGATATATACAAATCGAATCATGCATATACATTTAGAGATGCTGGGTAAATGAATGATTTTTTAATATTTGATAACCGAATAATGCATATACATTTTAAAATGATGATATTGTATGTTTTTCCCTCATTCATAAAGGGTCTTCTAATCAAATCTTCATTTATATTAACATGACAATAATTATCTACAATAACTTCACATGACAATAACAATAATTATCTACAAGAATTATGTTCTTTCCCTCCATATGATTTTTTTGCTACTATGTCATAATTGTGTCGTTATACTAATGACCATGTTATACCATGTTTTACTATGACCATGTTATGCTATGTTATACTATGACCATATTTTAATATTGCAATTGTTTAGACATGGCATGAACATCATAGCAGTTAGGAAGTCATCACTGCACCTAGTGTGAGAACAGTTAGCATTATACCACCTAATAATGGTTGGTGTTGTGATGATGGTGGGGATGATGGTGGTGGGGATGGTGGATGCTTCATCCGACACGACGGAGACCGGCGGGAATAACTGCGTCGGGACAGCGGCGGTGGCGGCGGTCATTACGGCGGTGCTCATCTTGGCGGGCGTCGGGGGCGTTCTCTGCATCAGGAAGCGGCGGGCTGGTGAGACGTTTTGTATTTTTTATTTATTTTAACTTTCCGCTTATTTATTACTTTCAACTGTTTATTAATATTGCACTTTTTTGAATTTTAAATTTTTGATTTTTACTATTTTTTGATGTTACATTTTTTTAATTTTACGTTTTTTTTATTTTTCACTTGTTCAATTTTACACGTTTTTAATTTTATTATTTTTCATTTTTTACTTTTGTAATTTTACACTTTTTCTAATTTACATATTTTTAGAATTGTACACTCTCTTTAAGTTTCCGCTCAGAAAAAAAGGATTAGACTTCGTCCAAATATCGATGCAGTTCCTACTTAATGTGTTGGTTATCGTGACCCACTTTTGTTGGTTATCCTGACCCACTTTTGTTGGTTATCCTGACCCACTTTTGTTGGTTATCCCTACCCACTTTTGTTGGTTATCCTGACCCACTTTTGTTGGTTATCCTGACCCACTTTTGTTGGTTATCCCGACCCACTTTTGTTGGTTATCCTGACCCACTTTTGTTGTTTATCCTGACCCACTTTTGCCCAGAAAAATAGCGTATCAGTGCTACGTGTTTGAAGTGCGTCCCCATTTGGACAAGATGACCCATTTGTTTTTCATCGAATTTTCAAACAATGCATGTAAATGTAAGAAAATTAATTCATAAAAACGAAAAATCTTTTAGCATAGGACTTATTACATGTATGATTCGGTTGGAATTATATAATTTAAATTAGTTTATGATCAATAAATTAAATAAATACATAACAAAAATTAAAGAACTAAGTTATATTATTAATTTAATACCTACAATAATTTCAAGTTCAATTCACGACATTTGCGGAAAATCTTTAATTTTTAGGCTCATTTTTTTGTGTTTGTAGGATTTACTTTTAATTTATAGGATCTATGCATGTACACACGTGACAATGCGTGTCACGCGCACGCAATGCGTGTCACGCGCACGCAATGCGTGTCACGCGAACGCAATGCGCGTCACGCGTACACAATCCGTGTCACGCGCACGCAATGCGTGTCACACGCACACAATGCGTGTCACGCGCACGCAATGCGTGTCACGCGTACACAATCCGTGTCACGCGCACACAATGCGTGTCACGCGCACGCAATGCGTGTCACACGCACACAATGCGTGTCACGCGCACACAATGCGTGTCACGCGTACGCAATGCGTGTCACGCGCACGCAATGCAAGTCACACGCACACAATGCGTGTCACACGCATACAAAGCGTGTCACGCGCACGCAATGCGTGTCACGCGCACACAATTCGTGTCACGCGCACACAATGCGTGTCACGCGCACACAATGCGTGTCACGCGCACACAATGCGTGTCACGCGCACCGTATGTAGGTCCGGCGAAACCCACAGCCTGCGGCAGCGCTTTCCGAAATACATTAAAAGCGCTCTACTTTCCTGCGTTTCTGTGCATTTTAGGCGTAAATCGCTGCATCTTCACAATTTCCTCTGAATGTTAGGCATAAATTGCTGCATATTAAAAATTTACTGTACATTTAAGGCATAAATCGTTAAATATCCGCAATTTATCATGTATTTTAGGCAATAAATTGGCGTGTAATCACTATTTTTCTAATTACATAAATAAATCAATGTTACTTTATTGTTTTATTGGCGTTTTTCATTTAATCGCAGCTTCTTTGCTGTGTTTTTATTTGATTTTAGGAAGAAATCGAGGTTTCTTCGCTGCTATTTTGATTTTTTTTAATTTGCTGTTTTTCAAGCAAATAGCCAAAAATATTACTCATTAGTATATTACTCATCATAGCAGTTTTTCGTGTACTCATGTATGATTCATTATCATTCGTTTCTTTGTGAATATAAATCATCATCGCTTCTTCAGAGTTTGAGTCTCTGCAATGTCAGTAAATTTATGCAGAAATAACATTTTCTGTTCTGCGCAAACGTCCCAAAAATATTACATATTTCTATGGTGGAATACCTACATTTCGTATGTTGCGTGCTCTGCGTGTGATGCGTGCACTGCGTGTAATGCGTGCACTGCGTGTAATGCGTGCACTGCGTGTAATGCGGGCACTGCGTGTAATGCGTGCACTGCGTGTAATGCGTGCACTGCAGCTCAAAAAGAACAATTTCTCGAAACTTCCTAAGCTCATAGAAACCATAAGGATTGTTATGAAAATTTCATTTAAAAACGTCCCATGATTACCGATTATATCCATGATTATAGAATACTTTAATGCGAATGAATGAAGATGAGACTTTTTCTAGTTATTTTGAAATTGTTCTTTGGAATTTTTTGTTAATATGGGATTTTATAGTAAAAAATCTTGCAGCGGCTCATAATAAATAAACCGCAAAAAAATAGAATATACTAGTAATTGACGTTAATCCAAGATGATGGGTTAAATTTATTTGTAAGCCAGTAAGGTTATAAATCGACCAGAATTAATGAAAAATTAACCAGTGAATATGGATAACTTGTGTTAAATTAGAGACGATATTACCAAATTTAGATGGAAATTAAGGCCGAAACTTAGTGAGGGATAATGAGTGATAATACGAGTGCAATTATCTAAATTAATACAAATTAGCAAGCTTTATATATTACTTTTTTAATGAAGGCAGATCATAAGGATAAGCTACGTATAATCAGAGTCAAATTAGATGGCTTCAGAATAAAATGTATAGGAGGAAAAACGAACTATTGGATGAAAAGAAATAACCACAGGATGATGTAGGAATTAATGAAGAGAAAATACGCAGTGAGTGTAGCTGGGGAAAAGGTCCATAGGATATAGATTAAGGATATAAGCCTGATGTGTTAATGCACAAAAATTGGCTTCAAGAATAAAAATTTTCAGGGTTTTATCGCTTGAAGCATTCGACGACAGACCAAGGTTATTTATATATAAGATATATTTACCCTAGTCAGAACGCACCCATTGTACGTACATAAGATTCAGTACGCATTTTACGCAGGATGCTTATTATACGCATCATAACCCGGCCATGCATTATACGCAGGTTGCGCATTATAAGCAGGGCACGCATTATACGCAGGGTATGTTCTATACCCTGGGCACGCATTATACGCAGGGTATGTTCTATACCCTGGGCACGCATTATACGCAGGGTATGTTCTATACCCTGGGCACGCATTATACGCAGGGTATGTTCTATACCCTGGGCACGCATTATACGCAGGGTATGTTCTATACCCTGGGCACGCATTATACGCAGGGTATGTTCTATACCCTGGGCACGCATTATACGCAGGGTATGTTCTATACCCTGGGCACGCATTATACGCAGGGTATGTTCTATACCCTGGGCACGCATTATACGCAGGGTATGTTCTATACCCTGGGCACGCATTATACGCAGGGTATGTTCTATACCCNGTGATGGTGCGAGTTTTAGAATTTTTAATTCATGTCCTCCTAAGCGGAATGCATTTCTTTAGTTAATTTTGCGTGGGTTTTCTCATCGAGTGCATCATGAACGTTCAGGGTAACTCGCTTGGATTAACAGGTTAAGTCACGTTGCTCATGGGACAACGTTTCTTTAACCGACATCCTCGCTACAATGAATGGTTACGTAAATAATCTTATAACTCAGTACTCAATGCAGTGAGTGACAGAGAGCGCATTTTCCCATCGACGAAAACTTGAGGTCACGGACGGACAGACAGACAGACAGACAGACGGACGCCTCACAATAGCGCCTTTTTTTCATAAATGGGAAAATGCGTTAAAAAGCCTCAACCATGTAGCCTAGACATCGTTCAAAAAGGTTTTTGGTCTAGCGACATCCCACAAAACCCAAAGGTTTCAAACTAAGCAACTAATATAAATATCCATGAAGCAGGGAACAGAGTGACAATATTCTTGTGCTAATTCGACATCAAATATCCTTAATTGTTACAATCCAGTTTCCAATGTCCTCGAACCATTCGTAAAGTCATATATTCTCGACGCGATCCAATACTGATGCCTTAGATACGGTCTAAGGCTTGTGTCCTCGAAATAGTCCTTATGGTATATGCCCTCAATACGGTCTAAGGCTTGTGTCCTCGAAATAGTCCTTATGGTATATGCCCTAGATACGGTCTAAGGCTTGTGTCCTCGAAACAGTCCTTATGGTATATGCCCTCGATACGGTCTGAGGCTTGTATCCTCGAAACAGTCCTTATGGTATATGCCCTCGATACAGTCTGAGGCTTGTGTCCTCGAAACAGTCCTTATGGTATATGCCCTCGATACTGTCTAAGGATATGTCCTCGAAAGAGTCCTATGGTATATACCCTTGATACGGTCTAAGGCTTGTGTCCTCGAAACAGTCCTATTGTATATTCCCTCGACATGGTCTAAGGCTTGTGTCCTCGAAACAGTCGTATGGTATATGCCCTTGATGCGATTTAAGGCTTGTGTCTTCGAAACAGTCCTTATGGTATATACCCTTGATACGTTCTAAGGCTTGTGCCCTCAATACAGTCCTTATGGTATATACCCTCGATACGGTATAAGGCTTGTGTCCTCGAAACAGTCCTTATGGTATATACCCTCGATACGGTCTAAGGCTTGTGTCCTCGAAACAGTCCTTATGGTATATACCCTTGATACGGTCTAAGGCTTGTGCCCTCAATACAGTCCTTATGGTATATACCCTCGATACGGTCTAAGGCTTGTGCCCTCGAAACAGTCCTTAAGGTATATACCCTCGATACGGTCTAAGGCTTGTGTCCTCGAAACAGTCCTATGGTATATGCTCTCGATACATGCCCTCGATAGTATCTAAGGCTTGTGTCCTCGAAACAGTCCTTATGGTATATACCCTCGATACGGTCTAAGGCTTGTGTCCTCGAAACAGTCCTATGGTATATGCCCTTGATACGATCTAAGGCTTGTGTCCTCGAAACAGTCCTATGGTCGATGCCCTAAAGGCAATCTAAGGGTTGATGTCCTTTTTGGACGAGACAAGGGCAGATGACTGCCAATGACTTTTATTGATCTTAAAATTAGGGGAAGATTAATTCCAATACGTCAGCGGTGGTCTACCAGGAAATGATAATTACGCAAATTGGTCGACGATCAGACAGATCATTTATACCAAATCTATAACTGAACTATATCTATGGTACCGAGTATAATGGCCGCTCAGATAATTTTAGAACTCAGGACCACCATAAAATTCTATGAGTATGATGATAAGTATGTAATTATATTATTTATTGTTACAAAATTGCATATATATGATTCAATTCGTCGCAATAGTTGCAAGTTACTCGATGATCGGAGGTTATATTTTGAGGCCTGCAGAAATCAAGGCAAGTTACAATGGGGGAGGAGAGGTCTCAAGTATTTCCGAATATCCCGACCTTAAACATTTTTTGGTCTGAAATAATTTCAGTTTTCTACACACGTATATTTATTGTTCGTCTCAGTCCCCTCATCTCATGTTGTACTCTTCCTATACCCACATCCTCATTCATCTTCTGCTCCATTTAATAACCAATAAAAAAATAAATTCAGTGTACGTGTTTCAATTTGCCCTTTACTTCTATTAATTGGCCGGGCACAGCAAAAATGTTTAAGCAAAAATGTAAAAAATGCTAAATTCTGATGTCCAAGTCACATCTCTGACAAAACATCTACAAATTCCGAACCTAAACGACTCAATGTTTCTGAATTGGACCAACGTTGTGCCGATATCTGAATCGCTCCTCATGAAATTTAACTTGTCGAGCAGCTCCCGCTGAATTCCTGAAGATATTTCAAGTTCAATTAAAAGCAATACATGGATCATGTAGAGCATGGATATTGGATGCTAACCACTTTTAAGCGAACAAAGCCATAAACCATACAAGGAAATAACATTCGTTATAAAAATGGAATAAGCAAACGGATCGTTCATATTCATTCTGGTCCGTGAAAAACTCATTACGTAATGAGTTCCTTATATATTTTAAAGAAGACCAGTGATAAAATGTATGATAAATGAACAATCATCAGAAGCAGCAGGCTGACTATAATGCTCTGCAGGCTGGAAAGCATCAGCATCAGCACTAGCAGCAGCACAAGCAGCAGCAGCACCAGCACCAGCAGCACCAGCACCAGCAGCAGCACCAGCACCAGCAGCAGCACCAGCACCAGCAGCAGCAACAACAGCAGCAACAGTAGCAGCAGCAGCAGCAGNACACTGTTGTTTGTGAAGACAATGTCAACACTGTTGTTTGTGAAGACAATGTCAACACTTTTTTTTTAGAATATTAAGCGAAGAGCTGCAAGTATCTGTTTCATAAAATGATTTAAAAACTTTCCTTACCGTAAACATTGTATTAAAGAATTATTAAAGTCCAATATGCAGGTTTTACAGTAGTGAAACTATCCTGAATTCGTAGTAAAAATGTCGTTATTGCTTAAATGCAATATATTTGCATTTAATATTATATCGATATTTGTTATGCAACGGAAAATGGCGGGTACTTTAAAAGATTATAAATTTATATATAATTGTAGCAGACTCCAGCAGTTGCATTTAATAATTAAATAAATAATTTATTTGTAAAAATTATAATTTTAAATATTAGTTTGATATTTCTTAAATGATATTCATTTAATATATGGTCCAATAAAAATGTTACCAATTAACGAACAGTCAATTACGGGCCCCGAGTACGGTGACCGACTGAAAAATTGCCTATAGGAATGGGGCAAAATAACATGCCTACTCGGCCATACCCCTAATAATTCGGCCTAATAGGTATAATTCAGCCATACCCCGAATTATGGGCCAATTAGTTGGCGCCCGACTTATGGGCCAATTAGATGGCGCCCGAATTATGGGTCAATTAGGCGGCGCTCGAATTATGGGCCAATTAGACGGCGCTCGAATTATGGGCCAATTAGACGGCGCTCGAATTATGGGCCAATTGAATGGCACCTGAATTATGGGCCAATTAAACGGCGCTCACATTATGGGCCAGTTAGATGGCTCCCGAATTATGGGCCAATTAGACGGTGTTCGAATTATGGGCCAATTAGACGGCGCTCGAATTATGGGCCAATTAGATGGCACCCGAATTATGGGCCAATTAGATTGTGTTCGAATTATGGGCCAATTAGATGGCGCACGAATTATGGGCCAAATTAGATGGTGTTCGAATTATGGGCCAATTAGATGGCGCCCGAATTATGGGCCAAATTAGACGGCGCTCGAATTATGGGCCAATTAGATGGCACCCGAATTATGGGCCAATTAGATGGTGTTCGAATTATGGGCCAATTAGATGGCGCCCGAATTATGGGCCAAATTAGATGGTGTTCGAATTATGGGCCAATTAGATGGCGCCCGAATTATGGGCCAGTTTGATGGCGCCCGAATTATGGGCCAATTAGATGGTGTTCGAATTATGGGCCAATTAGACGGCGCTCGAATTATGGGCCAGTTTGATGGCGCCCGAATTTCATGAGCCCTTTTTCATGAGAGTATAATGCAGGGCCCCAATTTTGAGCCAATTGTATAGAGCCCTAATATCGGGCCTATTATGCAGGGCCATAACTTTGGGCTTATTATGTAAGACCCTAACTTTGGGCCTACTATGTAAGATCCTAACTTTGGGCCTATTATGTAAGACCCTAACTTTGGGCCTATTATGCAGGGCCCCAATTTCGAGCCTATTATGTGGGTCTAAATTTTGGGCAAGCTAGGCATCGAGAATGGGGCAATAGTTGTGGTTCATTATTTTGGTACATTTAATGTGAGCCAAGCATACATTATTTACGCAATGTTCAAAATTATTGTGTTGTTATTAAACGTATTACATTGCAATAATATCTGGCAGCAATTATTTTATGAAAATACAAGAGAGGTTCTCAGAACCGGTTACATAGGTTCTAGATTATGGAATTTACTTAAATGAAGCCTTTAATAATGAGTATCAAATTATCGATTTATGTTCGAAATTTTGTAAGGGATATCATTCAGAATATATTAAATTAATAAGTGATGTTATTCATGAGATATTATTATTATTGTTATTATTATTATTATTATTATTATTATAATATTATTATCATTATTATTATTATTATTATTATTATCATCATTATTATTGTGCAATTTTGCAGGGGGATATTATCCAAATAATTGAACGTAAGCAATACAAAAATATCAAAATAAATAGATGATGACGTAACGCTGACTATTTTCATTTTTTATAAAATTGTGACGCTCCTGACATCCGCTAAGCGACTTTTTTCAATTCGCGTACATTTTTGTAATTAACAATTTACGTTTATACATAAAATTCTAAATAATTTTCTATATCATTTTTATCTTGAATATATCTTAGATGTTCGTAATAATACTAGTTAACGATATATCAAATGACGCAAAGAAATTAAATACATTTTTACGCCTCTTAATGAAATGCAACGCAAATTTTTTACAAATAATTTATAGAAAATATTATTTTACAATGTTTTATTTTCATTTTATTTATTTTAAAACTAGTTTATAATGATAATTTTTATTAATTTTAAATTTTTAAAAAAATTTCAGCGCCGAGGACAAAAGTGGACCTGGAGGCGGCGGAGAGAGCGGCCTACGTCAACCCCAACTTCTGTGGGGACACTGCAGGTTGGGTTTCGAAAGGGGTGTTGGGGAAAGGGGTTTAGTGGTAGGAGGGGGCAATGAGGCTGGAGGAAGTAATTAAAAAACGATTGTATGATTATATCAACGGCTATATACATAAATACATTGTATGAATGTTAATCACGGGTTATATAGAATGTTCATTTGAATAATGGCTTTTTTATATCAATTAAGTGAGAGATTACCTTTCGGCCTACTTGATCTGAAGCAATTTTTTACTAAAATAATAACTATGACTGATTATTACGACTGTTTATTAATAATTAAGACTGATTACACTAATAATCAAATCCGATTTGATAAAGAAAATTAATAATTATGAATCGTGTCAGGTCATGCTTACAGATCAATGAATGCCCGAGTAGTCAGGTGTTGATAACGTTTCGATTATATCGAAGCGTTGCCTCCTAATTACAGTTAATTGCGTCCTAATTATAAGTAATTACATCCTAATTATAGGTAACTGCATCCTAATTATAGGTAATTGCATTCTAATTATAGGTAATTATTATATATATAGGTCATTGCATTCTAATTATTTCGTTAATTTCTAGCTTTAGACTTGAAATTATTATCCTTATTACAAGTATTTCATTATTTTTCTCGTTAAAGGGATTTCTTTTAACTCATACTTTCACAAAATTCCTCAGTCGCCTCAATTTTTTTTTATTTTATGCATTTTTAAACTTCCACTTACAAGCCTTGTCTCTAACCCCATTATTACAAATATCGATAACATATCGAATCACCGCGTATTTTTATTAATTTTATTCATTTCTTAATGTACAGCTTCGTGGCTTCCTCTACACGAACGATAAAAATAGGAAAATTAATTATATTTTCAGTGAAAACGTTCCTGGGTACATTTTCATGTTCAAAAACTTTTTGGAAGAAATATAGAATGAAAAATAATCGAATTCATACCAGTACTGCAATCACTAAAGTTCTTGAATAGCAAGTTCACCAAGAATTTAATGTTACCATATAATTTATACAATCTGTAGCAATATTTCCAAATTTACTCTCACATAGTCGAAAAGAGAATAATTTTTATTTAAAATCATACATATAACAAGTTATTTTCAAGTCACTAAGATTATTGGTTATGATTTTGTGATGATAAGCTTGATGATTGTTGGGACGATCAATTTCTTGTTGATAAGTTGATGTTCAAGTTGATTTCGCTGCTGCTGTTGCCGCAACCATTGATGTTGTTGCTAATGTTATTATTGTTGATGTTGGAGTGATGAAAATAAGATTGATTGTGAATCAGTGAAATTGTGATTGGATGTGTAAAACATGCACTCATACATTACATGTGTGAGTAAAACATGCACTCACACTACACATGTGTGAGTAAAACATGCACTCACACTACACATGTGTGAGTAAAACATGCATTCACACTACACATGTGTGAGTAAAACATGCACTCACACTACACATGTGTGAGTTAAACATGTATTCACACTACACATGTGTGAGTAAAACATGCACTCACACTACACATGTGTGAGTAAAACATGCACTCACACTACACATGTGTGAGTATAACATGCACTCAC